ACAGTACAACTACAAAACTGTCCGGGGTGTGTGTGCCACCCTGTGTTACTTCCATGTGCCTGCTGATTTGACTCAAAATCTCAATAAAGTGGGTGGGTTATTTCCGTGAGGCAAACACACACACTCACACAAACGCTCAGGAAGAATACGGTGGACTTGATCTTACTCGACGCAGCGACTGATGTCAGCGCCGCAGCTGCGTCAACAAAGCGCAGCGGGCCGCGATTATGTATACATCCCTTTTTGATGCAAACGGCCTGTGTGCAAAACTCGCGGCGGGCGGGCGTGCGGGCCCACTTTGAAGTCTGGCCCGCCGGCAGGGGTCATGTCATCGCATGCGATGCCATGTCAGTTCCTGATAAGCCGATATTCCAGAAATGGATTTTTTGTGCCTTGTGTTGCGGCCTTCCCCCCCGCTGTCGTGTGCCCGCGGCTGGGACTCGTTTGTGGAGTGGGTCCCATTAGAATACTCTTTGTACACAAGCGAAAATACTCGCGCCTACTCCTTCGTGCCCGCACCCGACCCGACAAAGTCTCTTCTTGAATCAAGTAAATTACTTTGTTCTTATGCAATCTGGCATTATTTGTCCTCGTGCCAATAAGAGAACTGGCTTTTGGGTGTGCGGAAATACTCGTGCCTCCTCACCATACTTGCCTCTACTCCCAAGTCGCGGGTATGCCACTTTAAATGCATTATCAAGGCATTTCAATGAAGCATAATGGGAAAACTGGAAAGAGGAAGTCACATAGTCAGTCGTTAATTATCAGCCGTGTCAAAAAGAAAAGGAAAAAATGAGTGATTGAACGAGCACCTTGGTACTCTGTACTGTGTTTGTTTCGCTCGAGAGTTTCCCCGCGATACCGAATAGAGATTGGTGGGGTTGCAATGACTCGACGATGTTGCATGTAATCAAGTGGATTTCCCTCGGATGTTGCTGGTTATTGAGTTAAAGTCTAATGAGCGCTGACAGTGGGTCAACGGTCTGACACACTGTAAAAGAAATCTACAGCATTCTCGAAAGTTTTAAGCTAACTTCGCTTTCCGACCAGCACTTAGTTCCATGTCAAAGCTAGAAAGGCCCCCCCAGTGAGAAACCATATTGTTCCAATGCCAGCCTCTATTACTGGGGCGTGCGTCCCCTTACGAAAAAGCTCGTGAAATCCTTAGAGCCGAGCTCAGAGCACTGGCAAACAAAGGTGCTACGTCGTGCCTTTCCAGGGGGGTGCTGGAGAAATTTTCAGTGTAGTGCACATAAGGCACTATAGCCCCCTTTAGGTGAAAATAAAAATAATGCCTTTAGTACCATTTAAAGGTACCCGCCCCAGCGAATCAACGCCAGAAATCTCCAGAAAAATAATTGAAATTCCGTGATGGGCTGTAAATGTCTGTCTAAAGCGTGCCTCCAGTCGTGTCGCGTTCCGTGCGTGCGTGCGTGCGTGCGTGCGTGCGTGCGTGCGGGGGCGCTGCGCTCTCGATTGCCGCGCAGCGCTTTATCGGACGCGGTTATCTTTTACGGCGCTCTCCGCTGCGCTCATCCCGGGCCCGCCACTGACGGGCATTAGGAAGTCAGCCGGCGGGGCGGGGCGGGGCGGGGCGGCCTCTGTGTTGTGGCGGGGCGGGCCGCAAGCGCGCTCGCGGGGACGGGACGCGAGCTCAATCAGCTGTTAGTAGTCGGCACGCCGCGGCTGCGCTAGGCTCGGCTCGGAGCGCACTTTGTGTTGCTGCAGCTCGCCCGCGAGACGTCTGGGAGCGCCGTCGCCGCCGCCGTCACCGAGCCGCCGACATGTCAGCTGCGCCCGAATCTGTAAGCAGGCCGACTTGGTGCGAACTCTGTGCTGTGCGCCGGTCCCACGCGGTGCAACGTGCTGCGAAAGGGTGAAAGTGTCGCGTATACTCGCAGCGCGGGCGGGGCGGGGCGGGGCGGCTAGTGCTCGCAGTGGCGCGCGCGGGAGCCCGGGGCAGCCCAGCCCAGCCCTGGAGCGCGTTATCGGCGACCTAGTCATGGGCGGCGCACTTGTTGACCCCGCGCCGCACTTTGTACTTCCCGCCCTGCTCCCCAACCCTTTGGCGGCCCGGGCCGAGGACTGGGCCATCACGGTTCGGGTTGACTGCCACCGCCGGCCGCGGCCAACGCCCCGCTCCCCCCGACGATGTCCATTATCATTACGAACCGTCTGCGAACCGCCTTGGAATTGGACCGAAGCTGGTGGGGACAGGGACCCGCTGGAAAACACTTGAGTGCTCCGCCCCCCCCCCCCCCCCCGGGCGCGGTCTGAGGTCGCGCCGGCAAGATGTCTTGACTTGACTTGACAAACCGTGCGCAATGACAAACCAAGTGCTAGTCAATAAGACAAGTGTTAAACACTTCCCGCACAGGGGACGCAGGGACGCCCCACGGGAGTGTTCAACAGACGAGTTGAACACAACCCGTTGAAGTCCAGAGTGTTTCGCTGTTGGGCTCTCGATTAACCAGTGCAAGCCGCGCGCGGTGCTGTGGGGAGTTGGGGAGGCGGGCTCGACGGCGACGTGCTGGCCGCTGGCCGGGGTGGCCGTCGGTAGCTGCCGCTGGTGACGCGGACCCTGCGGACCCCCGGTAGGTAGGCCGCTCGCGGACACGGCTGCGGGCGGGTTGCCTCCCGCGCCACGCGCCTGCCTCCCGCTCGGGCGCTGCGCCTGTAGGTACGCTCCTCCTGCTCCCGGCCCTGCCTGCCCCCCCCCCCCTCTCTCTCTCTCTCTCGCGAAAGAGCCACAAACTGCCTGTTGCGGCAGTGAGTGACAGCCGCGGAGCTGCGTCGCGAGATAGAAGGGGCCGGCAGCAGCGCACCGCGACAGCCGCCTGAGCCGGGGCGAAAGGTCAAATTTTGTTTTGTTTTGTTGCCGCGGCGCTGCTCGGGGCGCGCGCGATGAAAAATGCATGACGCGAGGTGCGCGGTGCAGCTTTTGGGCGCCAACGAGGCTCCGCGTGAGAAACAAAACAAAAGGAGAGGGAGGGGACCTCGGAGGGAACCGGAGGGAACCGAATCTGCGCGGCGGCGGGGAGACACTCGGGGCGGCGCAATGTACATCCTGTCGTACCAAGGGAGAGGGGGCGGGGGGTCATTGCGCTTGACCTTTCACATTGCAAAACGTAGGAGGTGCCGGATGTTCCAGCGAATCAGGAGCTCAAAACAACCCCTGCAATGCATTTCAGTACTCGTCCTCCCCGGCGCAGGCCCCCGTTCATGAGAAGGAGGGGCGGTCTGCGTCTCTCGAGTCCTTCTCTGTAGCCCCTCCCTTCCCTCCGCCAGGTGCCTCCAGGCGCCTCCAGGCTCCTGTCTGGTTGCGAACCCCTTTACTCCATGAGGTGGAAGTAAACCAGGACAGAGAGGGGGGGGGGGTGTCAGCACGCACGAGAGCGAGAGTAGTCATGAGGAGGAAGTGGACCGGAGCGGCGCGGCCCGACGGTCACGTAACTGATGCTCGGTCAGGTTCTCCCCGACCCCCACCCTCCTTTGCTCTTCCCTTGTCACTGCGTCGTAGTTCTTAGAGGGACCTCTTCTCCCCCCCCCCCCCCCAAAAAAAAACGGGGGGTCAATTTTGGCATTCTTGTGTTATGGTTGTGTCTTCGTGCTTGAAGATTGGCTAGACTCCCTAACTGGTATGGTTGGACTCTGTTGCAGCACCTCCACCTCTTTCCCATTTCAGTTTTTGTTCAAGGCGTGCTTGTGACTTGTTGCAGGGTTTGCAAGTGGCGACCAACGTCACGGAGCAGAAGCACCATGTGTCTCGAGACAAGCGTGGTCAGGTGCTCGGCAACCTCCGCGGCTTCCGAGGATGCACCGTCTGGTTCACTGGTAAGTGTTGAAGTGTTGCAAGTGTTGAACTGACAAGTTGAACACTTTAAATTGTCCAAACTTACCAGCTGAACATTTGAGTGTAACATCCAAGAGCCTTCTGCTTCTGTACTGCTCCCCAACCCCAACTAATTCTCGTCCGTGTGCAGGGCTCTCCGGCGCGGGCAAGACGTCCGTGTCGTTCGAGCTGGAGGCGTACCTGGTGGGCCGGGGCATCGTGGCGTACGGGCTGGACGGCGACAACATCCGCACGGGGCTCAACAAGAACCTGGGCTTCTCCAAGGAGGACCGCGAGGAGAACATCCGGCGCGTTGCCGAGGTGGCGCGCCTGTTCGCCGACAGCGGGGTCGTGGCGCTGTGCAGCTTCGTCTCGCCCTTCTCCGAGGTACGTGGAGCAGCCTCCGAGCTGGCATATGCGAACATTGGTTTTGCGTTCGCGCTCTGCTGCGCAACTTTCTTTTGTCCTTGTTCTAAACTCGAAAACTCTTTCTTCGGATAGGACCGAGACATGGCCCGTCAGATCCACCGTGACGCGGATCTGCCCTTCTTTGAGGTGTTCGTCGACACGCCCCTCAACGTGTGCGAGCAGCGCGACGTCAAGGGCTTGTACAGGAAGGCGCGCGCCGGCAGCATCAAGGGTGGGTACACCGTCCGTTACTGTACCGCTAACGTACCGCATGCTCACGGGCGGGCGGGTTGCCTACCCGCTCGGGGTGTGGCGCAGTGCGCAGTGAGGGAGGGCAGGGAAACCCGTCCGCCTGCCTGTAAAAGGCCATTTCGGCTTCAGCAATAAAACGTGTATTTCTATAATTCACGTTTTCAGGATTTACCGGGATCGATCAAAACTACGACAAACCTGAACACCCCGACCTCGTTATTAAGACTGTAGGGGCTACTGTGGAGGAGAGCATGCTCCAAGTTGCTGAAATGCTGGAGGAGAATGTAAGTTCCCGAACAACGGTATTTCAGAGGATATTCACGTTTTCGTTTTCGTTTGACTTAAATGGTTTTAAATATGTTCCTCCACCAATTCAGGGCATCATCCCTCGCTCTGTGCGTCCCTCTGCATCTGGAATTGTAGATGAGTTGTTTGTGTCGGAAAACCTTGTTCGAGGTGCATTGGAAGAAGCAAGCAACCTACCAGGGCTTCAAATTACAGAAGTTGACCTACAGTGGGTGCAAGTTCTTGCAGAGGGCTGGGCTGCCCCTCTCAGAGGCTTCATGACTGAGGACCAGTACCTGCAAGTAAGAATTAAAATATTATTCCTTACCTAAATTGCTACCCAGGCCTCACAGTTGTTTATTTCCCCTCTTCCCTTTAAAAGTTTCTGTAAACAAACTTGCTTTTACTTAATCTCTGTTTGTTTCTCCAGAGTCTCCATTTCAACTGCCTTGTAGAGGAAGCTAAACCAACCAACCAATCCATTCCTATTGTCTTGCCTGTAAATGATGCTGATAAAGAACGCTTGGAAGGAGTTGAGGCAATTGCACTCATTCACAACGGAGAAAGATATGCTATTCTCCGCAAGCCCACTTTTTACCCACACCGTAAAGAAGAACGCATATGCCGTCAATTTGGAACTTCACACCCCGATCACCCTACTATTCGCCTGATTCTCGATAGTGGAGACTGGTTGGTTGGTGGCGAAATTGAAGTTTTGCAGCGTATAATGTGGAGGGATGGACTGGACGAATACAGACTTACTCCCAATGAGCTCCGCTCAAAATTCCATGAAATGGGGGCAGATGCTGTCTTTGCATTCCAGCTCAGGAACCCCATTCACAATGGTCACGCTTTGCTCATGCAGGTGAGTTTTTGAATGAGGCATTGTGTGGACGTTTTGTAGTTAGGGGTGTTTTATTTCAGGCTTTGTTACTGAATTTTGTAGGATACACGCCGTCGTCTCTTGGAGAGAGGTTTCAGACGCCCGGTTTTGCTTTTGCATCCATTGGGTGGTTGGACTAAAGATGATGACGTACCATTACCTGTAAGGATGAAGCAGCATCAAGCTGTTTTGGAGGAAGGAGTATTGCATTCACGTGATACTGTTCTTGCAATTTTTCCATCTCCAATGCTTTATGCAGGCCCAACAGAGGTGATTATTCAGTGGTTTACATTCTCTAAATGCTGTTTATGAAGTACCTGAAACCTTTATTTCTATGAATACTTTTTGTATACAGGTGCAATGGCATGCTAAAGCCCGTATGACAGCAGGTGCAAACTTCTATATTGTGGGGCGGGATCCAGCAGGTCTTCCCCATCCAGATAAGAGCAGGGGTGGAGATTTGTTTGATCCCACTCATGGTTCTCGTGTTCTCAAAGTAGCTCCTGGCCTTACAACACTTGAAATCATTCCATTCCGTGTAGCAGCATATGACCGAGTTGCCAAAAAGATGTCCTTCTTTGATCCTGAGAGGAAACAGGACTTTGACTTTATTTCTGGAACGAGAATGAGAGGTAAAGTTTTGACTTAAAGGGTATCTTTACTTATTACCAAAATAGTTCAATTAATTTCTCTTTCAAATTTTTGTCCTAAATGTAAATTGATTCTTTTTTATGTATGCAGGTCTTGCCAAGAGTGGTGAAAACCCCCCAGATGGTTTTATGGCACCCAAGGCATGGAGAATACTGGCTGGTTACTATCAGTCACTTCAGAAGGGTCAGTGAAAATGTTTGAACATTAATACTTTCTTGGTTATTGTTTAAATTGGGCAGCCCATGTAAGACTTTTCTCTTTGTTCAATTTTAATCCATCCATTATGTAAAGTTATTGGTTGGTACATATTTCCTCTCTTCCGATGTGCCTAGGGTACACTGTTATTTCAAAAGGATCTGGTCAGACAAACCTTATTTTTTATTGTACTAATCAAGCATTTAGCACACTAAACAATAGATATTTTTACAAGCACATTAGGGTTTCCTAACTAAAATGTTAACTGAGCTACAAATTCCATGCATTTTCAAATAGAATAGGTAGGATTATAATATTGCTTCCCATGGCTTCCCAGTAGTATGATTATGTGGAACAGAACAAATAGCTCTGCACAATTATGTACTATAAGTTGATGGAATATTTTCTCAGAAGATTTTAAAATTGTTACCGTATATCATTGTTCTTGGCAGGTTATTTAAGCAATCTTTAACTTTGAGTTAGGATTGTTTCATGGTGGGTTATGTTTATTTCTCATTGCCTTTTATTTGAATCAAAGATTTAAGGTTGATTTAGCTAGTCAAACCACAATTTCAAAAGATATGATGGTGCTTCGAAAGGTCCTGCATTCTACTCTGTAAAAAGTAAAGAGAGGGTAGCATTGAGAAAGACGCCCTGATTTCAGAGTTTGTGATGTCTCAATTACATAAAGGAGATGTTTCATTTGAATGTAGAACTACCTGCTAGTTTATATAACAAGTTGATGTAATAGTTTGCGTGGTCCATCTTTCATCACAAAATTCTTGTATTGTCGTTTATAACAGTATTATGATGATGTTTTACAAATCACTTCTTTTAATAATTTAAAGCGAAAGAACTGTTGAATTCAAAGAATATTTTTATCTTGTTTGTATAATCTATTTTTATGCATAAATTGACTATCTTTAGAAAGCTTATTATGATGAGCTGTTGTTGACCACTGAAATGTTTTTATGTTGATTTTGTTTTTTGTAGACGTTAATGAAAATTTTATAGATATTATATTTACCATTCCATTTATATCATCTTTATTTATTTCCATATTGTTACAAGTCTGAAAAGCATCATTAAACCTACATTATTTTACTCCTTCACTTAACACCGAGATCTTACAAAAGCTACCTGTAGCAAGATGGGTGCTTTTAATTACAGTGATTTTTCTTTCGGTTGAGTTTCCACACTGTTCAATGTACAGTCTTGTATTTGGGACGTGAGCCCAATACTTGCCAAGAGCAGGTTTTACATCAATGATCGGAGCACTTGGTGCAGTTTCATCCTCATTTTGAACGAGGGAAGCGGATTCCTCCTCTACCCACATGCTTGCCAAATTAATTACAACAATAGCAACAAAGTGTTCATGAGCTATATACTTGATTAAACTTGCTAAAGAGTTTAACAAGCCAAGGCTGTCCAGATTATTTGCACCCATATACTGAAAAAACACAGCAGGTAGAGATTCAATAAAAACTAGACGGGTTGTCCCAGGCTCCCGAACTAGTTCATTTTTCAAATGATATAGGAAATTATACAGCTCATTGTAACAATGCACTCTGGTTACAAGTATTTTCTCCATAGTACTACCAACTACTTCTTCATTGGACTCTTTGGCTTCTAAAATAGAGTGAATCCTTTTCCCTGAAAAATCTAATTTTGTGTCTATAAAATGAACCGATTTCTTCATTCTGAGAGCTACATTTGCTGCAACGGTTAAACACAGTTGAGTTTTGCCTGAACCCGAAACACCACAAATCTCATATACTTTCCCTGTTAAAAAACCTCCACCTAAAAGACTATCAAGACTTTCAATACCAGATGATAAGTATGAGCATTGTGACAAAAGTTCATTATAAGCATCAAGTCCTTGACGAGGAAAGGGAGAAAAGTTAGTGATGAGTGTTTGACGTAATACAATAACGTCTTTGAAATCTAATTTCGAAATTGATGCCAGTTTCTTGGGATCCTCTTGAAGTACGTCAACAACACTGTAAATTTTCCGCTGTCCCAAATTTTCAATGGCGGCTTTGGTTAGAACTTGGCACATCGTTGTTGACAGCTTGGCCATTTTAAGTGTCGGCGCTAGAACATGATATTAAATGATATGTAAAACCGATTACACATACACGGCATATAATACGAGAAATTGGTTGTCATGATGTTCATTACCATGCAATGAATTGATAGTTTATTGGTCTTGGAAAATAATATGGTAAATTATGTCATGATGATCAATGGATTAAAAAAAAAGCATGATCATGAAAACCTATAACACTAACGGGAATCATTTCCACAGAGCCCTAAACCGAAAACAATGATCTGACATAATATTCCAAAGAAGAAACAAGTCAAACAAGTAACAATCTCACATAAATAAGAAAACATACATGCTTGCAGAGAGGTTATTCACATTTGATGTAGCACCACAAGTTGTCACAAATTATTGGAGGGTACTGAACTTTTTTTTTTTCAAAATAAGTTAATTGGTGATCAGAAAATTTGCCTGCAGATGCAAAAATACTACAGAAGCAACCTCTCTCAAGCATCAACTTGTCGACTCGACTTGCCGGGGATTTGAATAGTCCGCCCATATCCGCCCAACTGAAGTCCAAGCTTTTCGACGCATGCGCACGAATACTCTACCCGCTCTACCCTCTCCACCCCTCCACCCCTCCCCCACTTCCTAGCTCAGCTGGCTGCTTGCTTCGACGAGGGCGGTGCTCGAAAATCAAATGTGGTAGACAGAAAGAAGGTCACCTTCATTTTATCTAAGGTCAGTAAATCTTTTTGATTTATAAGTCAAATGCACTGGAGTACAGCGTCTGCTCAGGTGCTTTTTTGTCAGTTAGTGGTGTTTCTGTCATATGGTACCTTTACCTGTCAGTGTTAAACTGTATCACCTGACGGAGTTGCAACTACTGTCAGAAATTGACATCATACACGGTTCCCTAACCTCGGAGTTTATCTCAAAATAAGCCCACAAATTGTATATTTTACTGTAAGTTTGATTTGCGTACAGGAAAGCTCATTTTTATCAGGGAAATTTATACGGCATAGCAACAGAAATATCTGTTACACCATCTGTCATTGTCTTCACAGCTTTGCTTATTTTTTTTTTCCAGGATTAGATTATCTTTCATCACATTATTACAATTAAGTTATCCTAGAACCATTTCCTTTGAGTGGGTGGTGTTTAGTAGGAAAATATTGTCTACATAAAATTGTGACAAGTTTCATTCATGATGCACAACTCTATTTTAGTCTGTCCTAATTCTGTGTCATTTCTTGAGAAATATTTTCCATTGACTTAAGTTTAATTTAAGTTTTGCTCAGGAGAAAATTTTAAAATTGTTATGTCCATCTATGCAATATTTTGAAGTGTGACATCATCAAATATTAATAGTCAGAATTTGTTTCAAATTTATAATTTTTTCCATTGTAAAATAAGCAATTTTTAAAGTTATAGACTATCTAGGTTAATAAAGACAAAATTAGTGTTTTCTGTACAAGTAGTATTCACATTTTTCTAATGTTGTCTCTCTTTGTCCATAGCTGGTTCTCTATCAAGACGTCAAGATGGATGACGAGCCGAAGCAACGTTTCATTGAGCAAGGCTCTCACAAGGGCAAGGGCATTGCAGTTTTCACAAGTGGAGGCGATTCTCCTGGTATAAATTTCTTTTCTCTTGTTGCCTAAATCGGTTACTGAATTTAATTAACAGCTCCTCTTATTAAATATTTTTTTTATAACTGATTACAACTTTCTTAGGTATGAATGCTGCTGTCCGGGCTGTGGTTCGAATGGGTATTTACCTTGGGTGCAAGGTGTTCTTTATCAAGGAAGGTTATCAGGGAATGGTTGATGGTGGAGCCAACATTGAAGAAGCCAACTGGTCCTCTGTGTCATCAATCATCCACAAGGTAAACTACATTTTCTTATCAATCTGTAAAAAAAAAAAATTCTCCAAAGTCAGTCAATTATTTTTTCAGTAACCCTTGTCAACATCTTAACAGCTGGTTTGTGGCTATACTTAGAACTTGGCATGCTCTGTGTAAATAAAGATGTTCAGGCTGAGGGTAGAGGGCAGTGGTGACGGGCAGAGGCATTGACCTTTGAGTTAAATTCCTTGCACTCAGCATTTTACTATTTTTAATGTGCTGCTTTAATGCTGTCTCATTTTTTTAGGGTGGTACAGTCATTGGATCTGCTCGCTGTACCGATTTCCGCGACCGACCTGGCCGCTTGAAGGCTGCCAAAAATCTGGTTGAACGTGGAATAACCAACTTGGTTGTCATTGGTGGTGATGGTTCTCTTACTGGAGCCAACCTGTTTCGCCAGGAATGGAAAAGCCTGTTGGATGAGCTGCTTTCGACAAGTAATTTTCACCAACTGGAAATAATGAACAATATTTTTTAATGTTGCATTTCTAACTAATGTTTACTTCCAGAACAAATCAATGCTGAACAGAGGGAGAAATACAAGCATCTCCATATAGCTGGAATGGTGGGGTCTATTGATAATGACTTTTGTGGTACTGATATGACTATCGGTACAGACTCTGCACTGCACCGTATTATTGAGGCAATTGATGCTATCGTATCCACGGCCTACTCTCATCAGCGAACATTCATTATGGAAGTTATGGGTAGACATTGTGGGTAAGTTTCTATTAAACTCTAACATTTCTTGTTCTTGTTTCATATTTTGTGATCGGTCATAGTCACAATGATCCAAAGAATCAGTAGTATTTATCTTTTAATTCCTTGACCTACCTAAATAGTATTGGGTTTGGGTTCATATGTTTCACCTGTGGGTGGGTAAGTTCATTATCTTCTCAAAATAGATAATGATCACCCTGCTTTGGATCCAGAATAAACATTGCTGGAGTGTTTACCTGACTGTGTTGGCCCTTATGAAGGTACCTTGCAATCGTGGCTGCCTTGACATCTGAGGCGGACTATGTGTTTTGCCCAGAAAACCCTCCACCTGTGGACTGGCCCCAAAAGCTGTGTGACAAGTTAGAACAGGCAAGGGATTTATTGTCATTTTTGCGTATATGTGTCTAAACCTGCTTGAAATGCAATGAATGAAAATGTTGACCTAATAATTATCCCTGCAGCTGTTTTGGTTGCTGCATCATATCTGCCTGAATTTTGCTTTCAAATCTTGTTTAACAAACAAAAGTCTAAGTCTAAACAACATAAATGTGGTTTACAGCTTTCAAATGTCCCATCCTAAAATTTCCATCCCTGCATCCTTGCTTGATTTTCTGTTGAGTGGTGGAAATTGCAATCTTGCTTTTACTAACTAGTATGGATTCCTCCTGAATTATAGTATGTTACAGTAAATATAAATTATCCTTATTCCTATATACATATAAAAAAAAACACGTTAATAAATACAATGATTGTGGCCCATAATTATTCCCAATGAATGTAAATGTGAGTCATGTGATTATGCAGCTTTTAATCTGTGAAAATATTTTATATTTTTACATTACTATATTACACATGGTTCTCAGATAAATAAATCAGACCATTTCATTTGTCATGGTTGTCAGAGATTGTGGGGTGTTAAAACCAGACTTTGTTATATTTGTCTTAATTGAGAGAGAGCATTTTTGGATCCTGAGAATGTAGTTTTAAAAGAATAGTTGTTAAACACAGGTACCTAGCCCTGGTTGCTGCTTTGGCTACCGAGGCAGATTTCGTATTCATACCTGAATGGCCGCCAGAACGTGGCTGGGATACGAAGATGTGCAAAAAGCTACTCCAGGCAAGAGATCTTTTGAGATATAGACTAATGTATATGAATGTGATTTGAGTAGGGTTGCTCTTTTCTTTAACTCCTAGTTGGTACTTTATATTTTTCTATACTTTAAGTACTCTTTTAAAATGGGATAAAAAAAAGTAGGCAGGTTTGTCTTTTTGTGTTTCATAGTACTTGCGCCTTTGAATTTACCTATGTAGAATATCTATTCCCCAATATTTGTTGCATCTCATGCTACAAGTTTCTAAACAAAACTGAGTTCTGCTTGGGGCTGTTGGGCTTTCAAAGATTTATTTGCTTGTGTTACTTTATGGGCTTTCCTATTGCTTGTTATCCAACAAGTCTCATCCTAAATCCATTTTAACCTTTTTGTTTTGTTTTGCCCATATTTTTAGATTTTAATGTTCCTTATTTTATTTTCCTTTTTCTTCCATATCTCTGGAATTCTCAATTCTGCATGATCTTATGTAACCTGTAGTCGTTTTCTTCTTTGTTTAGATCAGAGTGAATGATAACTTTCTCTCTATTTTTTGAACTGGAGGCCTCTCTGCTTCCTAGTTACATAACACTTATTAGTATTGCTTCTTCCTATTCCTTAATTTTGCAAATTTTAAGCATGCTGGAAAAATATAATTGAACTTTGAGCTTACAGATATCTTTGCTCTGTTCTGTAGGAGCGATCTGCTGGCCAGCGTCTAAATATCATCATTGTGGCTGAAGGAGCTATCGATCGTGATGGGGAACCTATCACTGCTGAAAAAGTGAAACAGGTTGTTGTTGACAATCTAAAACAAGACACCCGTATCACTGTTCTTGGACATGTGCAGCGTGGTGGTAGTCCAAGTGCATTTGATCGAGTTTTGGTAGGAATAATAATGTTTACACTTCTGTGTCCATAAACCAATACAAAACTTAATCTAATTTAAATGCATTATTCTAGGGTTGCCGAATGGGAGCTGAAGCAGTCATGGCTTTGATGGAAGCTACACCAGAAACAGAGGCCTGTGTAGTGTCTCTTGACGGTAACCAGGCTGTTCGCCTACCTTTGATGGAATGTGTCGAAAGGACCAAGGCAGTTGCACAGGCTATGGCTGACAAGCAATGGGAGAAGGCAGTCCAACTTCGTGGAAGGAGTTTTGTGCGTAACCTGGAGACGTACAAGATGCTGACCAGGCTGAAACCACCCAGGACAGCTTTTGATGAAACTGGACGTGGCGTGGTGAGTTACTTCTATCTTGTTATAACTGTTTAGGAGTACAGTGAATGCAACCCCGAGTGGCCCTCAGATGTCTTCAGATGTTGCCATTGCTATCTTTCCAAGCTTCTTGTTCTCCTTTCTATCAAATGTATTGATTAAGTTCAGAGACCAAGTCTTGTCAAATTACCGCTGGAGGTCTAACTTGCCCTCATGTAGATGAAGTGTATTTCTTTACGTAATCTTTCCTCCGATGTCCTCAGAAGCTAACTTTTTGCTTGCCTTTCCTGTGAGCTGCTACTATTTCATACATACCATCTATGGAATCCTAAGCATTTATCAGTCTCTCAGTGCTTCAAAAGTACTTATACCTTTTCTTACTCATGGCTTTTCTCCACTAACCAACTCCTCCATCCATTAAAATGCTTTTTTCTCTTTCTATGCTTTCAGTCAGCATTGAAAAAGGTATGGTATAGTCATTTTATAATGAAAGTGGGATTGTTAATTGTGTGCCAACTTGTTTCTTAACTGTCTTTTTCTCTAAACTGGTGTTTGATTTCTTTGGCAAAGTAAAACTATTGAATTTTGTTTTGTTCCTCATAGCAAGACACTTTGTGGGGACAGGTAAGGAAGGATAAAGATTTCAATATTTTACAACACATTGCTGCAGCTTCTTATTGGTATTTAAAGATTAGGAACATTTTTGTTTAGTTTGCTGTAGTTTTAATTTTGACTTATTGGTAAAATCATGCACAGAACTGCATTTGAAAAACACTACAATCTGTTTTATGTAGCGAATAGATCTTTTATTTCATAGGCATTCAATTTTCTTTATCTGACTATCTAAAACAAATGAAAAAATACGGTACATTTAGTCTACATTGAGTGGACTTAAATATTTTTTTGCTGCTGCTAAGGAAAGTTGAAGTTAGTTTCAAAGAGATCTCTCTACCAGTTTTAGCTAGGTTCTGTGATGGCTGTTTTCTTGCTTTTCTACTGTTTTTGCATCTTTCTTCATCATTGGTCAATAAGAATAATGCCATATGTACCTATATGTTTTCTGTATTGCTTAATGTACCTCCTTGACTTGAAATTATATTTCTGTTTTTACTTTTACTATTTAGGAAGGTTATACCTTAGCAGTCATGCACATTGGTGCTCCTGCCTGTGGCATGAACGCAGCTGTCCGGTCATTTGTCCGAAACTGCATTTACAGAGGTGATACCGTCTATGGTATACATGATGGTGTGGAGGGCCTTGTTGCTGGCAATGTAAGTTCCATAACCTTTTTCTGCCTGCTAATGTTTTATTTCAAATTTCAATGTGACCTGCGTTTTGTTTTTCTGTAGGTTCAAATGATGGGCTGGTCTGATGTAACTGGTTGGGTTGGCCAAGGTGGCGCAATGCTTGGTACTAAGCGAACTCTGCCTGGTGCAAGGATGCCACAAATTGCTGCACGCTTGAAAGAATTCAAGATCCAGGGTCTTCTCATCATTGGAGGATTTGAAGTAAATTACATCATTAAGGATGTTATTTAATACTTGACTCAATCCCTACCTATGTGTTGCCTTATTTTATTTCTTATTTTTCTTTCAGGCTTATCAAGCTGGTCTTCAACTTACTGAAAATAGGTCAAAGCATCCTGAGTTCTGTATCCCCATTGTTATTATTCCATCAACTATAAGTAACAATGTGCCTGGCACTGAATTTTCATTAGGTTGCGACACCGCTTTGAATGAAATTACTGAGGTAAACTTTTTATCTGATGATTTATTTTAAACACTCAAATGAACAACTGACAACACACATCCTTCCAGAATATTATGTGTATTGCTAATACTCTTAAAATATTGGCCCATATTTTATTCTCCCCTAGATCTGTGACAGAATTCGTCAGTCCGCCCAAGGTACTAAACGTCGAGTTTTCATCATTGAGACTATGGGTGGTTATTGTGGATATCTGGCAACTGTTGCTGGTGAGTGGCATTTTACACTTACTTCAACCAAAGACTCTTCTGGTTGTGCATTGCATGCATGTATAAATATTTAGTCTCTTAAATAGTACTGTTTGTAATCAAAATGTAATTATTTATTTTAATAGGTTTGGCAGGAGGTGCTGATGCAGCCTACATTTATGAGGAGAAGTTCTCTATCAAAGATCTTCAACAGGATGTGTACCACATGGCATCCAAGATGGCTGAGGGAGTCCAGCGTGGCCTGATTTTAAGGTTGATAGTTGTTTCTTTATTTGTTTTTTCTCTCGCAAGGTAATACTGAGCCTAATTTTGTGCACTTTTTGTGTTAAATAATTTTCCAGAAATGAAAAATGTAATGAAAATTATAATACCGATTTTATCTTCCGTCTGTACTCTGAGGAAGGCAAGGGTCTATTCAGTGCCCGTATGAATGTTCTTGGTAGGTTCTTGTACCTCTACAACATTTTTTCCTTTTGCTGATATTTCTTTCTCTGGGACCTGGGACCTTAGTAAATAATTTTACTTATGAATCTTAATAGGTCACATGCAACAAGGTGGTTCACCTACGCCATTTGACCGTAATATGGGCACAAAAATGGCAGCCAAAAGTGTGGAGTGGATGGTTGGTCAGCTGAAACAGCATTGTCGTGAAGATGGTTCAATCAATGTCAGTTCTCCAGATTCAGCTGTTATGATGGGCATCGTTCGCCGTCAGTACAAATTTTCTCCTCTCCAGGATCTCAAAGCAGGCACCAACTTTGAGTAAGTTTCTAATTTCTTTTTCATTTTTTGTTGAACATTGTCAAAATTGTACCAGAATGCTTCAATCATTATGAACCTTACAGTATGTAGACATGCACTGTAATGGGGGGTAGGCAAACTAGCTGCTGTAGCTTCTATCATTTTTCAAAGATTAAAAATTGTCCTTTTATCTCAGTAGTTGAACTCACATTTTAAACTCTGTAGCTCTTTGTACACCAATTGTGTATTTTGAATATTTTTTCATTCTTACGTGTTGAATTTTGGCATGAGTAGTTAAACATAGAGCACTTTAACCTGCACGGTTTTCTTTTTTTCTTAAATTAAGTGATTTTTATCTATTTTTGGTCTAGCCACACATAGAAACCCTACCATTATGTAATTGAGTGCATTTTCACTGATGGCATGTGGTACGAGAAATACATACTGCACTAGCTATGCCCCACGTCATGCCTAATGGTGGTGATTGCATGATACATTGCTATGTTGTAGACGCCGTATCCCTACCAATCAGTGGTGGGTGAAGCTGCGCCCGCTGTTCCGCATCCTCGCGAAGCATGAGAGTGCTTACGTAGAAGAGGGGATGTACATAACAGTGGAAGATGGCAAACCCACAGACCTCACTCACTTCATTTAGGCATGTGAAGCAATTTTCCTTGAAAATGACAATGTTTCGCACTTTTTATGTTACACTTCGCCATATTTGTCAGATATTCCTGCATGCTGAGAAGGACTTGTTGCATGGTTGATTTTTGTTACGTATTGTGTCGAGAGACCTGCTTCACCTCAGTTTCATGTCACATTAGTGTTGTCACACCTTTTGGCTTAAAATTCTGTTGCTCTATATTTGTCTTTTAGTTAACCTCGTCAGACATCTGAAAATGATTTGTGTCCTTGTGAGAAGTTTGTTCGTTTGTGTCCACCACATTGATCAGTAAAAACTTAAATTTAACCTTGTCACCATTTTTTATGTTACAGTCAGCGCATTCCAAAATCTCAGTGGTGGCTGAAATTGCGCCCACTGCTAAGGATCTTGGCTAAACATGATAGTGCCTATGAAGAAGAAGGATTATACATGACGGTTGAAGAGGGAGCTGAGGCAGATTCAATTGTTGTTTAATCAATTAAATTGAATTGTATTCTTTAGTGCAAAATATAATGTAAATTTTAAATATTTTTCTTAATTTTATTTCAGGCCATCAAATTTTTTGTTTTATGGTTTGTCATGTTGATTTTGTGTTTCTCATTTTCATTTTGTGATTCTTCTGTGAGTGATTCTATGTGGTACCAGTTCAAAAATGCTTGCCTCATCAGACAATGATGGTTAGCACACTAGTCTGTTTCACCGGTAAACTCATCAAACACTCAGAGAAACCAAAATAATTTTATGCTTCATAATTGTGAATTATAGTAGATTTTAGTAGTGTAGTAAATACTTTTGGTTCACTTTTAACCAGTCATGCTTGAAGGATTCTTGAAATCATGTGTTTATTACTCCATGATGCATCCTTTGACTTTGAGAACACTTTTAATAGGTGTTTGTTTTTTAAATGTCTATTTTTGCTTGAAGTGATTTTATGTATACTGTATTTATTGAGAACTTTTGATTGCTGTTGCGTGCTTTTCATATACTCACATTTGAGTGTGTATATACCTTAACTTCCTATTCTGTTTTGAAACCTGTCAGTTGTTTAGGGAAAATTAAATCAATAGTTTTATTTTCTTAATCAGAAGGAATGTTGTTTTGTTTTATATGAGTCTATATTTTGTTGATTTGGCAGATATCTTTATTTTGATATTAGTGTGATATTATGATTTCTAGCTTTATTGTTGCCATTTAATACTCTCATAAATAAGTAAATCAGTCCCTATGTAAGAATTAGTTCGATTGCTGATCATGTCACAATTTGAAGGTTGTCTGTACATATATACTTCCTTTCTTTTTTGATCATGTTCAACACCTTAGACGAGCATATCTATGCAGCATAACTTTGTAGTTTTTCTGTAGACATCAATAACTGAATTGTGAAATAAATTTAGGATTCAACACAAGTGTCCTTAAATTGAGGGATAAAGATTGCAGCTATCAACAGTGTGAGAGCATGAGAACGGTTCTATATCTAGTTTTTGAAAGGAGTTATTGACATTATTAGCAAGGCAAGATACTGTTTATTTTAGGCCAATGGTTCACTTGTCTCTGTTAATCTTGTCACTGCACCTCTTGAATTCTCCAGGTCTAAATTTGCTTTCTCAAGTTTTAAACTGGAGAAAGTTAAGTATTAGAGTTCTGTGTCAACTAAAATGGTTTGGTGATTTATAGGTTGAAAAGAAGGTTTGATCCCTTTTGGATGTGAACACAACCATTTTGGTGGTAAATGGAACTGTCAAGAACACCAACAGTATTGAAAAACACATCCATGTTAGTTGCATAATGATGAAATTAGTTCAGTTAATACTAATTAGGCAGTACCTGCCTCTTTGGATAGACCCTGCAAAAAGGGGCTGGATCCCCATCTTCTAAGAAATTGATTGTTATTGGTGAAAACCATTAGCTCAATAAAGTGATTAACTGAGCAAAAATGAGTGTGCATATTTCTATTTTTTGTACCTAGAGGAAAGCGATTCACAGACTAGACACTCAGATGTAAACAATCTTAAAAACACCATTTAATCTCAAAAAACGCCAGTACAAAACTGACCAAGTCTTTATAAATTAATGAAAATACTTCAGTGGACGCAATATTTATTTAGCCTTGGTAGCTGTTCTTGATCGCAGAGTTTTCTTTGTATTTTGGTCTACCTCTGGCAAGTCATCATCTTCTCTCTTTTCTGAAAAGTTAAAAGTCTGATATGTATCGAACAGCACATCATGTACATACACCATGATATAAAAAAGAATTGTCAGCAGTCTTACCTTCTTTCTTAGTCTTCTTAATAGGTTTCTTTTCGGCTTTGGGCTTTGGTCTGCTGGCAGCACTGAGAGCATTTTGCTCGCGCATCTGCTGAAGCTGTTCAGTGATAAAGTGCCACATGAAGTATGCCTGAATAGCACATATGCTAGCAAGAACACCCAATCTGTTCAAAGAAAAATATAAATTTAGAACAAAAACCAATAAGCACTAAATTAGATTAGATAATTTATTTTCTCAATGTCTGATTTTTTGTACCTGACTGCTTGAGTGTTGAAGTTTCCTTCAGCCAGGTTGATAACTTGATTATCACTAAGAGCAAGTCCATACCAGAAGGTAAGCACAGACAAAATTATGGAACCCAGTCGTACCAATACAAACATGCCACTGGCAGCCATGTGAATGCCTGAAAGGAATTGGTATGAACAGAAACTACAGCAAAACCATAATTTATTGAAAGAGTAAAAGTGTATTTTGAATATTTTTTCATTCTTACCCTTAGAGCCATTATCATCTTTGTCAAGGTACTCAACAATGCGAGCAACATGATATAAGGATTCTGACAGGTAATGAAGAGTCAACAGGCAGATGCCAACTCTATTGAGACTGTAAAAAATTGTAGTCAAATGCAAAAATTAGTTTAAAAAAGTTATTACACTTGATAAATTACAGAAGTAAAAATTAAGACCCTACTTGAGTAGATAGATGGCAGACACAGCAATAACACCCAGAGTGGCATACTGAATGCGGTCAGACATTTCATCCCGTTTCACTTTCTGGAAGTACAACTCAGGGTAGCAATGGATCCAGTAGGAGAGTTGGAAGATAAAGTAGAACTTGAAGGCAAACATCAATGCAGAGTGAGGATATCCTTCCCAAAGAGAAGTTATGTTCAAGATAAAGTTTTGCCTGCCGAAAAAACAACAATTAAAATTAAATAAAAATTACGAATCTAAAAATACCTATGTTCAAAACTGTGGTAAAAAGTTCAAAGGTCTTGCCTCAGGATGATGTCAATACCCCAAACAATTGAAATGAGATAGAAGACCAGGAGCTGACCTGATTCATTGAACTTGCTATGTTTGGCCTTTGAGAGGTGAAGTTTCTTAGTAACTTTCTGAAAAGGGAAAAAAAAGGTATGAATTTCAAAACCATGTGTGCATATGCATGTATACAGCAATTTTAACAACAAAAAGTAATGTAATGGAAGATTTTTTTTTTTTTTTTTTTTTTTTTTAAACCGGAACCTCCCGACCTTCTCCCTGGGGATCATTAGGCCTTTTAGACAAAGTTAATTTCTTTAGACATTACCCAAAGAGCACATTGGTTAGTGTCATAATGCTTCGGTTACACAGCTATGTCTACATAGTGTAATATCATGTCAAATAAAGCTCTCAGAATGACATGGTCAGAATTATTAACACAGAATTAAATAGGCAAGGATCCTGCTGACTACTGTGCTGAACACAGTGCCATACTCCATGCTTGTAGTCTGATTTCATCACAAATTGCCTATCAACCAAGCAGTTTGTTGGGGGATCTTGTAGTGTCCGGAATTTTTAAGTTTTAAACATGTATTATTTCATTTCTTATTTTTGTTTCTGGACATCCAGGATCATCCTGAGTAAAATTTGGGACCACCAAAATATCTCCACGGGATAATTAGTATGAATGAAATGAATGAAAAAAGCAGACTTTACCAAATATCCCTAACAAACCTCTATTTTACTTATTATGAATCATTACCCAATGTGCCCTGGGTGTTATCACATTAGCTGTGAAATGTCTGGAATTTTAGCATTAGCCAATTTTTACAGTTTCCCCTTCACATACACAAATAATTTTACAACAGCCAATAAAAACTTACGTCAAGGAAGTACTCTTGCAGAATAGCATGCATAACAATGCAGATGAGAGAATAGAAGAAAATAGCACATAGGTCTTTGAGTCCATAGGTGTACAAGGTATCAGTCTGTTTCTCAATTGAGTCTTGGAGGTCCAGCGATTGTGTGACATTGTGGTGAACGCCAATGAAGGTGTAAGCCAGTGATGATGTAGCCTGGAACATAAAACCATCATAAACATAGGTCGAACTGCTGAAGAGAGAGGAGCTCTACAAGATTCGAAGAAATGACTCAATTTTGACTGTCAGAAGAAAAAAAAAGCTAGATGTCTCTCACTTGTCCTACTTAAAAAGCTTGAAAGTTAAGCAGTAAAGGTGACAAATTAGCATCAGCGGTGAGGCTAGGACGACAAGACACGGTATTCTTCAGGACAGTTAATATCAGTTCCTGTTTTCGGATGGGAGAGGGTGCTCAAAATGAGTCAAGCCATTTAAAAGGACTAATACCGTTACATATGTTTGAAGGTTATGTGACGTCTACAATATTGAAGGCGACTGCCGGCAAGGGACCGGCTACTTATCGTTCAAAAGTTAAATCTAGATCAGACATGGGGAGAAGATGAAAGGCACCTGCCCTTAATATAATGACACTATTGCTTCTTGCCAAAATTAACCGCGTAACAACTCCAGTGTTTACGTTTGACGGGGGATGGAGAGAGGCAACTAGTCAACCCACCTGGATCATGAGGCCGATCACGAACACCATAGCAACGCAGGACACGATGTCCGCGTGATTTTGAATGAAAAACTCATGACTGAGAAAACTTGGGTTTTTGGTCGGTTTTCTAGGTTTGACAGGCATTTTATGCATTGGCGTTCCTCTTCGTGTCCGAGCTCAGAAGCAGACGCCAGCTGGTGGTGCTACGCTCGCCGGAGTCCTGCACCAAAGTGCCCTGCCAGCAAAAATGCCAACAGTACACTTCGTGGCGGTGGCGAGAGAGAACCGGTGCCGCGTACCGCGCTGGTGGGGCGCAAGACCAATTCTCAACAGGTCATTTCGAGCTGGCGCCTAAAGGATGAGGGTTTTCCGTTTTGTTAAGATACTGTTTGTGGTGGCAATAAAAGCAGATAATATCGGTCTCGTTAACAAACTACCGCCTCTTAAACTAAGCGTTTTGACAATTTCTATTTTGAATTGAACGCGAGCGCGGGAAGTAACGCGAGCGGAGGCACCACTGAAATCAACCTCGTCGTCCGTCTCTATCAACTCTTCAGATCTCCCGATCCCCGAATCCATTCAATGTGTGTCTTCGTAAATGTAACTGGAGTGTGGACTGCAGTCTCCGTTTTCATAAAATAAGTGGTTAATAGGCACGAAGTTAACGCGTGGTCGACAAGGAATGAGGGTTGTTCGGAGCAATAACGTGAGGAAGGGGATGAGGGGAAGGGGGGAAATCGGGGGATCCTGTGCTGTAATGTCCAGACAGTCCAGACTCCCGGACCGGTCCGATGTAGACGAGTGGGAGGGGGCAATGGAGAAAATCAAACATCAGCTGTGGACTGAGAGTCATACGGGAGCGGACTGAGTGAACTGTGTCGAGTGGGACGAGGCGTGGCGTGGCTGTAGCGTGGCCCACCGCTCACCGCCCAGCGGGTAGGCCACCCATTTGACTCCGTGTCATATCCTCCTGTTCCGACTAATTCCGACCCATGGACGACTTATACTTTGATCGTAGAGAAGTACTCGATGATTGGAGATTATTTCTTAAAGCTATAATTTGTGAATTTGCGACAGTTTGCCGACAAGCGTCGTGACGTATCAGAGATGAAATTCAGATACATTTCCGGAAGCATTTGAAAGAGACCGCGTGAATTTTTGCCGCCACCGTTGCAAAATTTATTCGCACAAGGCGATGAAAAAATATAAACAAACAGCTGAACGACAACCGGTCGCTTGTCGTGTCGCGTGTAGTCTGCTTAGTCGGCTGCTTGGCGCTGTCGTTGCGGGAGCACAATGTGTTTTCAACGTCAAACTGTGATCAATACATGACACCCACATCAAAAGCCGGGATGTCTCGTTGTTGTGCCCGACTTCGCGCTGCCCGTGGAGACTGCTGGAGAGACCTGAAGCCACTGGATCCATCGCCTGGATGCACTGAATGAACATGGACAGGAGGGCTTTCTCGGCCAACTTCAGTGAGTAAACTGGCGAGATAAAGGCTGTATGTTTTTTCCTCAGTGTCCACACGGTCCACACACACCCCTCCCTTCCTCGCGCTCGAACACCCGACGTATCGGCACTTCGTGAAGTTCTTCGACTTCGCGTTCGAAACGCTCTCTTCGTCTTTACTCGCAAGACAGGACGCTGCCGCACGCTCCCTCAGTTTGTCATTTTCAGACGCAGCCGGCAGAAGTTGGTCTTCATACTGGGCATCCCCCACTCCTCCCGAAAAAAGAGGGGAGGGCAGGGGGGGGGGGACGTTTCCTTCTGGTAAAGACAATCTTGGGGACTGTCTAAAAGAATATTCATCGACACCTCTTTATGCCAACCTGTTTCACCTATGGACTTCGATGTGATGATCCTGCTGGAACATTCTACGTTTTAACCGCCGTACATCAGACTATGATTTTATCGGTTCAGTGATAAAACCACTAACGTGGACTTGATTACCAAGTCGACTCAGATCGACTCATAAAGCGGGATTAGCCGTCGTCTTAGTCGATTTGGCGCACGCGACTATACTACTCACACTGCTGTCTTCCCTCCCCACATCCCCTATCTGTGCGCGCGCGCCGTACCGCCCCCTGTCCCGTTGGGACCCCGCGGGTCCGGCGCGAGTGCACTTGGCGCGCTCGGTTCGGTCCGCGCGCACTGCACTCGTGCGGCTGCAGCGGCTGCAGCGGCTGCAGCGGCTGCAGCGGCTGCAGCGGCTGCAGCATGCCGGGCAGCTGATCGCTCTCCGAGCAGCCCGCCACCTACCGGTCACCAGCACAGCCGCGGTGGCGGTGGAGCCCGCGGCGGCCC